ATGTTTGTAACATCTACTTTTAAGAAGCTTGCTAAGAAAGATTGCTACATAATAAAGTGAGGGACCAGAGACTTCACATTTCAATGAGCCATGTGTATTATACCATAAATCAGCATTCAGGCAGTAACCATACAAAATACATGAGGCATTCATTTACAAGACAATAGGGCTAATTCAGCTCTTCCCAATAATGCTTTTGGTAGCCAAGAGTTCAGTCCTTAGAGTCCCACAAGTAACAAGAAACTGTACTTAAGCGCAGAGTGGAAGAGTTCACAATGGTCTGAATCCAAGTGTCCAAGCAGCGGTTGATACTAGGACAAACTGTAATTCAAGGCACAAACAGCATATGCCAAAGGTGTGATTGTAGACAATTAATTCCATATTGGTCAAGGGTTTAGTTATAGATGAGTTGCTGCCTCATGCCTGCACGATGAACCCTCTGCATCAAACAAACAAACAAACTGAGTGCCACCATAACACATTTACATCACATTTGCTGACACATCACCTAACATTACACATACAAACAAAGTACAAACTGAACACTTACGTTTGAGCATAAGAACCACAGGTTCCTCAAATCAGGGATAAACATGACCACACTAGTAGGGAAGCTTCTCCATGTGTTTAACACATCCTTCCTTCCTTACTCTACTTCTTCTACCATTTTATGCTACTAGGAACCCTCCTTACTAGAGTACCCCCTAGTGGTAGAACGGAGTATTACACAGTACAGAGAGCTAATAAGACAAATGTAACTGCAAGCTGTTACACACCCCTCTCCCTAAAGAAAAAGTCTCAAATACTCCCATAGAATTTTTTTAACTTTTCAATATGGTAAGTATCACATTGGTTCGGATTGTCAAGCATTACTACCTTGTAATTGACATTATTCATTCTCTTCAAAATCTTTGCAGGTCCCTGCCATTTTGGAGCTAACTTGGCAGTAAAGTAATCAGCAGCTCGAGAAAGATGATGAGTCAGTACCCAAACCAGATCTCCTTCCTCAAAGGTTTCAGCCCTTCTTCGTTTATTGTAGTACTTGGCTTGCCTCTCCTGTGCTTGACTAGTTTTCTCCCTCACTTGGTCCAGAAGAATCTTCTGTCTCTCGATTGTGGTATAGGCTACATGATCGGGATTAGGCGCCTTGCGGACTAACCGTTCAAGAGGTCCTTTTAACTTACGTCCAAGTGCAATTTCCGCTGGAGTAAGAGCTGTACTCTCTTGCCACGCCGAATTTATAGCATATCGGAACTCTGGTAACCACTTATCCCAGTCACGATGGTTATCATGGACAAAAGATGCTATCATCGTTTTCAAAGTTCTGTTGACCCTCTCAGTTAAGTTGGTCTGAGGATGATAAGCTGTTGTGAGTTTCTGAACCACACCCCATCGTTTACAGGTATCACTTAGTAGCTGGCCAGTGAATTGAGGTCCTCGGTCTGAAACCAAGTATACCGGCGTTCCCCATCTTGTGAACATCTCTTTTATCAGTATGTTGGTTATGAGGTGAGTTTTCGAAGACCGCAGAGCAAAGAGTTCTACCCACTTGCTGCAATAATCCACAAAGACTAATAGAAATTCATTGGATCGAGGGCTTCTCGGGAAAGGACCCATCAAATCCACTCCGAGCATATATCCCGGTTCTACTACTGGGGTTGACTGCAACAATCCAGATAGCTTAGTGATTCTTGGTTTGTAGGCTTGACACGTCTTACATACCTTACAGAAACTCCAAACATCTTTGCGAATTTCAGGCCAATAAACATTGTCAAGTAGCCTCCGTAGAGTTTTCATTCTTCCCAGATGACCACTCAATGGATTTGCATGAGCAAATTGCAGGAATGCTTCCCTCAATGATGCAGGTATGACTAGCTGATTAGTGTACCCTAGTTGCCTGTCCGGTACCCTACGAAACAAGTAGTCATTTTCCACAATGTAAGCAACACGGCTTGGGTCAGTATTAGTTTGGTTAGCTGACTCCCATAAGGTCTGTAAAGAAGAATCAAGCTTTTGAGCTCTCCCAATCTCATCCCAGCTGACTGGTAAATTAGGGTCTGGTTTTGTGGGTTGACATAGGGCAATGTGGCCTACCACCTCTTGCACAGGTATGCCTCTGGATAGGGCATCAGGTACCACATTACAGGATCCCTTACGGTACTTAACAGTGAAGTTAAAACTTTGCAGCCTTAAAGCCCACCTAGTCAAACGGGAGGATGGTTTGGGTTGATTGAATACCCAAGTCAGAGCAGAATGGTCTGTGAGTACTTCAAAGTTTCTTCCCTCCAGGTACTGTCTCCACTTTTCTACAGCCCACACCACGGCTAAACACTCCTTCTCAGCTGTAGAATATGATTTCTCAGCTCCATGAACCAGTCTCGAAGCATAAGCGATGACATGCTCCAATCCGTCAACCTCCTGTGTCAGAACAGCTCCTAATCCTATATCACTAGCATCCGTTTGTACTTTAAAATCTTTTGTGAAATCAGGTGGCATTAGAACTGGTGCTTGTTGAAGGGCACTTTTAAGATCATCAAAAGCTTTTTGACATTCAACTGTCCAATCCCACACTGCATCCTTCCCTTTTAATGCGTACAAAGGTGCTGCTCGCTCAGAAAAATGAGGAATGAAGCGGTGGTACCAACTTGCAAGGCCTACAAATCTCTGTACCTCCTTGACGTTCTTGGGTACCGGGAAATCACGGACCGCTTCAATTTTTGAGGATTCAGTACGGACTCCTTCTCCAGAAATAACATGTCCTAGGTAAGTGATGGTCTTTTGCAACATAGAACACTTCTTGAGATTGAGAGTTAATCCTGAAGCTTCCAGCTTTGCAAAGAGTTGCTTGAGATGTTGGAAGTGATCTTGAATGCTCCCGAATAGATCACAATGTCATCAAGATAAACGAAACAGA